CCGTTGAAAAGTCCAACTCTCAATTAGCGTTCAGGCTACCGTCTTGGGTGATGTGTCCTTTATCAACACCGCTACAGGTCATCGTGTGAACCTATCGATGCGGGAAAAAGTATGGTTAGAACCATTTGTAACCAGCATTGGTCTCACAATGTTGATGTGTATGTGTTTGAATCTAGAAAGAACCTACTGCGAAACTAGTATGATGATGAATTCTGACTTTTCGATATTTCACGCATGCTTGTATCTAATTACTAACATCCCGGTTCGTGCTTGACTATGCAAAATGCTAGCTGATCAGCTTGATCTTTGCTTTTATGTAGAACAACTCAAAAAGACTAAACTGAGTTGTCTGAACAAAATTTAAAATAAACCATATGTGTCATGGCCATTCAGCAGTAAAATCCTTGTATGTGAAGTACTCACACCATCGAATCAGTCTGATAGTTACCGATCTGTTATAATTAGCATTTTAAACTGATCTCCATCTATACTCACCTTATTTTTTGCCGTGTAATTAAGTATGTAAAACTACATCTAGGATATTACCCCAGAGACACCAAATTTATATCTGAAAACAAACCTGGGTGCTACTTTTATAGTGAATAATTTCGGAGTTGTTCTGTTTTTAGGTTAGTTGATCCTGAATCTCTGCCCAGTGTTCCAAGATTTTCGTTAAAGTATCTCAAGTTATCTGATAGTAGCTGGCTATATGACGCACACTTATCGGCACTGATTGGTTTAAATGCTTCAAAAACTCTGAAATATCTAAATGTATCGAAGTGTTATCGTTTATTTCTTGGTCCTCCAGCATCCTGTCCACTGAACATGCGTTTTGAAAAGATGTCAGCCTTTCTTAAGCAGACTTGTCCGCACCTCGAAGAGTTGGACTTATCTTCAGTTTTTATGTCACATAACATCCAAGTGCCTGTAACAACAGCATTGTTAAGTATGATACCTGATACTCTTCCTTACCTTCATACTTTGAATCTGTCAGAAAATCCTATGATTACTTCGTCTCTTTTAAATCAGTTATACGAAAGTCAAAATCTAAGCTCAGCACTTCAAAGCTTCATTACCTCGTTTTTTAATAAAATTCATAAATATAAAGTTTTTTTGTATATATATGACTGGCCACATAAGTTAACTATGAGTTTATTTTCTGCATGTGCTCTTACTGTACCTGATGGCAGTACAGTATATTTGTATGTTAATGATGCTCCTAAATGTATAGAAGAAAATTCGAAATGTAAACTTATATCTTCAGTAACAAATGACCTTTGTTTTGGCTAAACGATCTTTGTATATATTCTGTTTATAAGATTTATATAGATATATATGGTCGATATTTGTGCGGTTTCACTATCTAACTATTCTTTATTTGCTCTGCACAAGTGAACTCATTTAACAGTAGATGGTGACACAAAGTTATAACTCTATAAATAACCTTGCATGTAACGACGATGCCGTTCAATTCCACAATATTTAGTACTGTGGTGAACGAGAACACCAGTGGGTACAACCGAGTGTATTCGAACACGAAATTACAGTCTCATAGTGAAATCTGACATAACACTTACCTCATCTAAATTTCCAAGGGTTGAACTTTTACCAGGAGATTCACTTGTTGACTTAGAATATGCCGATGACATAGTTTTATTTGGTGAAGAAGCTGACAAAATGCAGAGTCTTCTGACCACCGCAAGCAACAATGCAAACATGTTCAGGATGCGATCCTCCCCCTCGAAATGCATAATGTTGCTTCAGGATTCAGTTGCATCGACACCTGAAGGAGTGAAGTAGTTGAGCGTGTCGACCACCCTACTTATCTTGAAAGTCTCATCAGCCCTTGTGGTCTGGTGTGTGACGAAATCTCAGCACGGATACAGAAGGCTCGACTAGCTTTTGCCAACTTGCGTCATTTATAGTGTAGGTGAGATATCTCTCTACCAACAAAAGAACGGGTTTACTGCGCAGTAGTTTGTTCAGTCCCACTTTATGGCTGTGAAACATGACCGGTAAGAGTAGAGGATAGTCGTAGGTTACTAGTATTTGATCATACGTGTCTTCGAAACATTGCTCGTATATCCTGGGACCACTAAGTAAGTAATGCAGTTGTTAGGAAACGGGCACTAGGTAAGGATGGCAAATCCATCGGTGAAGTAGTGAAACTTCATCAGTTGAGATGCCTGGGACATGTGTTACGTATGCCCAACCAACGACTGCCCCGACGTGCGATGTTTTCTGGTGTAGAAGTAGGTTGGAAGAAAGCTAAGGGCGACCAGACCAAAACATGGCACTAATCCATGAAGTTACTGACAAGTGGACTGAGCCATGTTGGTAGGTGTGGACTACCTGGTTGGGATCCGCGAGATGACAACAACCGATGGTTAGAGACCTTGAATGACATGGTTCGAAATCGTTTGTATTGGCGCAAGTGCATCCACTCTTTGTGTTCTCCCAAATTCTAATCTGAATTCTTCATGTCCCTTTTTTATAAATTTATTTCACTGGATTATACTACTTGAATAACATCTTCAAACCTTAATGTTTCTGATTACTGCTTATACTTTTACTACCTCTATCACTACGGGATTTGAATCGACAATTGTATCTCTGTGCTAATATGGTATGGCAACTCGAACTCATGTACGTACGTACGAAGTTCTACGTCGTTGACTAACTGACTGAGTAATCGGAAATGGGCCAATGATTAGAAAAGCATAGACACTAATAACATTCTTAATAAGAGGTGTTCACATAATTGGACCGTGAAACGTATATCTGAGAAAAAAATCTTTGTGTTCATAAGAAACTTGTCACACCCTCATCTCTCCCTTGGTCTTAATAAATGAGTTTATTTATTATTTTCCATACTCTCCGCTTATTTTTCTTCACACCCTGTATATTAGAGTAAAGCCTGATGAGGATCTAATTGAAAACAATATTGTTTGCTTATATATGTTGTTCTAAATTACAATGGTGATTGTTCATTGTGTAGTATGAAATTAACAGATAGTAGTCTACCCACTTTACACTTCAGGAAGATACAGAAAGTTTGTAACTAAGGTGAAGAATTTCAGTAGTACCGTATTCAGTTAGGCACCTCGGTACTTATGTTTTTATTTTCATTCTGAGTAACAACACGCGCACACTTCTATGCACAGTCCCGTTTCATAGATTTTTAATTTGCTAACTAACCTTGGTTACGTCATAGTAGGATATGTGGGTAGACAGCTTTTTAGGACCCTTCAAAATATCTTCCAGTTAAGATTATTAATTGGTTATCTCGAAAGCCTATGTTTTTAATGTTTAAGATAAGATATTTCAGACATTCTTGCCCCTAGTTTATATAAAACTTCGGCTTTTTGTCACTTTAGCTGAACGGTTACCAAACCTTCATGTTCAAACGTCTCCTTCACTATCGTCGAAATATTCTCAACAAAAAGCTTGAGTTATTTATTCACGTTGTTAAAGAATGGAACAATATATCGATATTTCATTACACAAGTTATATCCTACACTGGTTAATTAGGTACGAAGTTCAAACAATTCAAACCAAACATACTTTGTATCTGCATAGTGCATCTACAACACTACTTATGGCTGTCAGTATTAGCCTTAAAATTCTCATAAACACAGATGTTACCTTTAAAACACCAAAAAGGTGTATCTCATGAAAAGGTACATACTCTACATCTGGTAAACTTGCACCAGACTAACTCGATGACCAGCCGTCTGAATGTCAGTAATATAATATAGATAGGTTTTAAATCCTACTCAGAAGACAGCTACAATGTTCACTTCTGTATATTAAATTGCCATCTTTAAATAAGTATAATCACCATTTTGTTCACTACTATATATTTAGTACAGTATGAAATTCTCAGCATAAATTTCAATAAATTTCTCCTATTCTTCATATATACCACAAAAGTACACTTACATAAAATGGATTTGTTAAATTGAATGAAATTTTTGAAAAGAGTAAGTTGTTTAATAGTACGTCAGAAATCAACGTAATTAATTGGAGTGATCTCGGATTCCGCACTGGTTTGAGAATATCTTCTGCTTAAGTCGTCTGGTAATTAGTGGGTTATTAGAATAACGTGATTAAACTTACTTTTTACTGAGATGAAACAAACTAGTATTGTACACTCTATTCATATGACAGCTGAATACAACACTAAGTTTAAACAGTGGAACTCTTTAGTGTTGCTCGAAAGTCGACAGAACATGTCTTCAGTCATGACCACTGTGTCGTCATCTTTTCAGCAAAAACAATGTAATTAATAAGTTCGCTAGAGGCGTAACTGAAATTTTTTTGTACTTTAAGGGTTAATGAATCCTTAGTATTCCTTATCACATAATTGTAAACCCAAGCCTACACATTCAGTGTACATATCACCTTTCACTTATTTTTGTATGGTGTATAATTTTTTGTCGTGCATCTGTCCTCACTTAATTTTTGCGATTTTTTGTTTTATGTAAATATTCATGAACATATGTTTTTTCCAACTAGTACTTTTTATTTAATTTACGGTTGAATCCAGGTTATGATCACATGCTTGTCTCATTGGTTTTACTATATCTCCGCTCACATATTAGTGTGAAACTGTGTTATAAGTAGGTTTGTTTATTCATAATCACTTATTCGGATTTGGGAATTCATAAACTGGTAGGTTTGCTAAGAAGAATAGTATGTGTTCGATAAAGAAGTATGTACTTTCAGTGAAGAAATTTTCATCCTGGCTAGGTCTATCTAATATACATTCGTTGAGAAATTAGTTACTCTCACGTCATATAGAAAGTATACATTTTTAAAAATTTTCTCTACAATGGTATCAACTTTCACGTTGTTTGAATTGAAATTACTTATAAGTGATCAATCAACTAATCGTATGCGGTCGACTTAATAATAGTTAAGAAATAAAAATATTACGACTAGACAACATTGGAACACATGGTTACGTGTGTAATATATATATAGTTTAATCAGCTTAGTATTGATTAAAAATATAAAATCACTATTGTGATTCAGTAGAAGTAACCATAATCAACAAAGAGGTCCTAATAAAGAGGGATAAAACATGTTTAGATTTTTCAGAAAAAATGAAATCCTAAGAAACGTTGCGTTCAAAGATGGTGTATTTTGTCAATGAGGACAATGATAGTACAAAATAAAGCCCAAATTAAAGCTATTATTATCCAGAAAAAGTTCTGAAATGGTGATGCATGCATAGAAATAGACAATAAATGATGGTTGGAACATTTTCCTATAATTGAAACAGAACGTGGTGTTGTTATGTCATTTGTTGAACCATACATGATATTCTCATTCTCCGTATTATTATTGCTGGAATTTGGTTGTATCATTTGTTCACCAACAGTTGCCGATGTCGTATCATCACTTTGCTGTAGATCTGTTGTTGTTTCAAGATAAGATTCTTTCAGACGAACACAGTGTGTTAAGTATCGACGTGCTTTAAATACTAACAGCGCTGGTATTATATACTGTATACCTGAACCAAAAATTGCCCCGGTAAAACCAGTTAAATATCCAACATTAGTAGTTATTAATGCAATCCCTAATGGTGGCAGTAGTACGACAAATGGTAATGTGTACTTCAAAATGTTTTGAGCTTTGTCACTTCCGAATGCAGAGAAGAAGTTACATAAAGAAAAAATGTTCCCAAGTAAACTAGTGCCAACTATTGGAAAAGATGAAGTCAACGCAAACACAGGAAATAAACATAAAAAATAACCTATTATCAAAGCTAATGTATAAGGAATTTGTGATATGTCGATAAATTCATTGTTCGGTAGAAAATTCAATGTGTAAATATCTTCAATATGGTTAAATGCAATGATAGCTGTAGTAGATAATAAGAGGTTAAACGATAGAACTGTAATGAAGACAGGTATAAATATTCTACATAGTATTTTACTCTTATCTCTAACAGGAGTTACAATGCCAGGAATAGAATGATGACACATAAATACGTACACACAAACTCCGAATAAACTTGGTATATTTTGAGGTTGAAAGGCTGGTGGTTTTGGAACTGGTTCAGATTTTATAAGTAATGAATAGATTGAAGGATTCCAATACATACTAACATTATGGTGAAACGTTGCAATTGTAAAGTTTTTGTGCAGAATAATAGCTCTTTCAATCGAAAAACTCAACATCAAAATAAAACCAATCCATCGTAGACAAACGGTCAGTAGTTGAAGCCATCGAGAACGAATTACATTGAAGAACAAGAATGGGCAAACACATGCACCAAAACAAACCTATGAGAAAAATAAGTACGACAAATTGGGGACAGTTGCCCTAACATTATGTAAACATGCTATAATATTTATCGTAGGATAACGTAACTTATCCAATAATTGTTTGGCTTGAAACTAAGATATATTCGGAACACTGTTTAACATGAATGCACCGTAATTCAGGAAACATTTGGTGATTTATATGGTTGTGAAACAGCAATTTAAAGCGCAAGAGCCGTGCGAATTACAGGCATTTGACCATGCATATAATCGTAACAATGCCCTTACGCATGAGGTAATTTGGGTTGGTGTGTAACCTCTTCGGCGGAGAAATCAGGTCTATAAATGTAGTTGTAAAGATGTGCCAACTAAGATGGCTAGGAGACTCATAACAAGCGATTAAGTGACAGATAATTCCCATTTAAAAATAAAAAAAATAAAATTCAGAGCAGGGATCTTTTTTCAACGAATTTATTATCAAAGCTGTACAATCGTATATACATATAGAAATTTTTTGGTAAAGTACTAGCTCCGTGAGGAAATGTGAACACAAATAACCAAGATGACGTAATAGAAAGATTATAATACTAGATTGCGTAATACGAATAATAACAATAGACTTAGTAAGTTAGTAACAAATTATAACGTGAATGTAGTAAGATTACTAAAATGTTTTTGTTACAATAATTAAAGGTCACAGAGGTGTAAAAAAATAAATAAAGTGATATGATGGGTACTTATGAATAAAATAATGAGAATATGAGACATAAGTAAAGGGAAAATGCAGTAATAATAATAATTAAGGCCAAGGTAACGATAACGTGCTTCTGTTGTGCGCATAGTTCTGGCTTGAGCTCATGGATGATAAGACCTTCGGCTATTTCTAGGAGTTCGATACGAAGAAATCTAGGTAGATTTGAAAGAATCGTATATACAACCTTAAAATCAAATTGTGGATTCGTAAAATGATTACAGTCGATTAGGTGTTCATGTATAGACCATATTGACATCAGTCATCGTTGTCGCTCATTTTTGAATTGAGTGACGAGAAAAACGAAAGTAGGAATAGCCAGCTGACCAACTTCTATAGCTGGGTTCCTTTGAGCAGAAAGAGAAATCTCATTCACTCGTTATGTCATCGAATACATTGGATATGTAATACGAAATGCATTGACGAGGAATTCGATTTTTCCAGGAAAACTCTAACGGAAAATGGCTGTCCAGACCGATTCGTAGATAAGAATATAAAAAGAATTCTGGTTGTTCCGTTCTAAAGAAAAACCTCTATACGAGTTTGGAAAGGCGATAGAACTTCTGATGTAATCAAAAATCGTTTACCGACAGTGATTAAAAGAACATTCAATGCGGCAAAACTGCGAATAACTTTCTGTAGCAGGAACTTATTTCTTATATCCATAAAGGATAAGCTTCCTTCTCTGGTCACCTCATTGTGCATCTACTAGTTCATCTGCTTTTGTGAAGCAACTTACATTAGCCGTAGCCAGCGATCGCTTTCAAGTCACATACGTGAACACTTCCCAGTTTGGTTCTACAAGAGCGAGAGGAAAACAGTTAAGAGTTCTATACATGAACACCTAATCGACTGTAATCATTTTATAAATATAGCCTTTTGAACTTGAGCTAGAGTTGGGGGACCTACTTCAATGTTCCATTCAGGCTGTCTGGGGATGGAGGGTAGTTGTAGAGTAGTTGGAGCCCAGCTGAACCGTTCTCTAAAATGTTCCGCCCATCGTTCTAAACGTCTGAACTGGGAGCAGATAAGTGTCATCTTTTTCCGAGATAGTCTTACTTACAATTGACTTATTAATTTCAGTTTCTTTCGTTAGTCTGAAGAGCTGTCTTGTGTTACCTACAGCCGCCGCCTTCTCCATCTGTTTTGCTTTCGTTGCCCACCACTGCTCACAGTCATTCCCTAAACTTTTGCTTACTCTAGATCGGATTTGTTTTCGCTCTTCATCGCGTTCAGAGTCTGATGGGAAGTTTACGAGAATCCCTCAGTGCAATAAACTTAGGAGAAATTCATCGGTGTATTGTAATCCTATTGTTTAAATCACTAACAAATGTCACCACTGTTTCCACAGCTATTTGTATATCATCGCAAGCAACATATGGGTGAGTTTTCCTGGAAAAATCGAATTCCTCGTCAATGCATTTCGTATTACATATCCAATGTATTCGATGACATAACGAGTGAATGAGATTTCTCTTTCTGCTCAAAGGAACCCAGCTATAGAAGTTGGTCAACTGGCTATTCCTACTTTCGTTTTTCTCGTCACTCAATTCAAAAATGAGCGACAACGATGACTGATGTCAATATGGTCTATACATGAACACCTAATCGACTGTAATCATTTTACGAATCCACAATTTGATTTTAAGGTTGTATATACGATTCTTTCAAATCTACCTAGATTTCTTCGTATCGAACTCCTAGAAATAGCCGAAGGTCTTATCATCCATGAGCTCAAGCCAGAACTATGCGCACAACAGAAGCACGTTATCGTTACCTTGGCCTTAATTATTATTATTACTGCATTTTCCCTTTACTTATGTCTCATATTCTCATTATTTTATTCATAAGTACCCATCATATCACTTTATTTATTTTTTTACACCTCTGTGACCTTTAATTATTGTAACAAAAACATTTTAGTAATCTTACTACATTCACGTTATAATTTGTTACTAACTTACTAAGTCTATTGTTATTATTCGTATTACGCAATCTAGTATTATAATCTTTCTATTACGTCATCTTGGTTATTTGTGTTCACATTTCCTCACGGAGCTAGTACTTTACCAAAAAATTTCTATATGTATATACGATTGTACAGCTTTGATAATAAATTCGTTGAAAAAAGATCCCTGCTCTGAACTTCGTGTTATTAATTAATTCAATATGTTAAACGATCAGCTCAACATTCGACCACCTTGTTAAACAGACTAACGGTGATCAATCTATGACTATAAATTCATTGACCGTTGCTTCGAGTGGTGTAACACAAGATTTAAAATTTATTAATAAACATTTTTGAGTGCTATAAATCAGTAACTACAAATCACAAACAACATACATCAAATGACGCAACTGATTTCACTGTATCTTCTTTTGACTAGTTAATTATTTTCCTTTCCCCACCTATTTCTTGAGTAGCAACTCAATAAAAGTCATGCATTTCGGTAATTAGCCTGCTGAGAAACACTTTTTAGCACAGATTAAGGAATGTAGAAGGTATGACGATTAAATTGCAAATGTCAGCAACCGAGCGAACATAGGTTCATCCAGAGGAAAACGGAAATAAAACAGGTTAAGACTGAGTAAAAATAGGAATTTAACAGGACACATGATAGTTCATTAATCTGGTACACATTTATTCGCCAACGCTCTTTCAATGAAAACAAGAGTATATGCGCTATGACCCGGTTAAATGAAGTAAAAAACAGATTGAAAGAATTGTTGCTGTCTACTAGGCTTACTTTTCACGAACATTTTACTATAAAAGCGAGAAAAGGAGCCATTTAAACCGTTAAACAACCAATTACCATATAATGTTCATACAAGGAAGATAGGTTCCAGTATTTGTACTAAACTTATTTGCTTTTAAGATACTAATTATATGCCAAATACTAGAAGTAAACAAGTTAACGGAAATAGATACAAAAATAACTTTCTGGCCGAATATATGGGTGAGAAAACGAGATTGAATAATAACTATTTCTTAAATAAATTTACTACTGAAAAAGAAGCTAGACAACAGATACCCATTATCATGTTTTAAACTTACCAACCCTCCTCAATATTTTAGTTAACGATGTAAACGGATTCACAGATGAATTTCGTAACTTAGAAACGTATCCTTTTTCTGTAATACTATGTAAATGTTGTGAGTAGTTATCTACTTAAAAAGATAGTTTTACTCTTTTACCAAATCCATTTGCTGCACGAAAAATAGAATTTCTATAATTACCCTGTTTTTCCTTAAGGTTGAGAACTCCCAGCAATAACTGAATAACATAAAATGCGCAAACTATTTACAATAATCATGGTTTCAAATTGAACCTTTTCATTCATTACCCTTTTTGATCATAACCTTTGATTCTTTATGGAGATTGCTTCACAAACTGACTATACAGCTAATTTGAAACTGCTATGCATTTATTGTGCATAGACCTAAAGATGGTTCGTTTCAAAAAGTCAAGAAATTTAATGAAACATTTTTCCAAGTAGTTTTCTGAAAACTTCGGTCAAGTTTCATCAAGTGATTATGACAGACTGGAGAACGATGGCGATCTTTCTTAAGGCCGCAAGTGAGCCCTTTCGATAAGTCCCAAACCAACACAAAACAGTTGACCAATGGTTTTTAATAATTCTGTCGTTTGATTTTAGGTGACGAAAAATATTTTCAAAGGAATTCCTGTCCGGTGTGTTGTTCAAATTAAGCTACAAAAATTTCTCTATATAATTCATATAACCAATCTGCTCTACTACATAGATAATTAAATTAATTATAGTAAAATAATTTAGTAAACTTGGCTACAGAGACGCTAATTCAGTTGGTGTCACCATCTTGAAACATCGACTTCGGTGGCTTTAACATGTCCTAGGAATGTCATCCCAAAGGATTCCACAACGCGCATGATTTACCGAAGCTGGGACTGGTTGGATAAAGTGGAGTCGTGGTATGAAAGAAAGCTATACAGGACTGACTTCTATTGGTCCTTCATGACTCTCTGGTTAGGGTCCCAGAGATGACACAACACAATGGCTAGAGACCTTATCAGACATGATTTGGAATATAAATCAGTGGCGGTCCTGTTGTAACTTTCTTTTACTTTATTCAGAAAAGTGAACGTAACTTCTTTATCTGAAAGAATTCTTTCTGTTAATATTTTTGCTAACTTAATTGTTTTTTTTCATTATTACCATCTCACTCTCATACACTAATTTCTGTTCGATTTTTTTATCATACGCACTTTACACTATCCATCTTTTCACAACTTCATTGTTAGTGTGGCGCATACGTATCTGGTGCCCCTTGTACCAATGTTTGTGTTAAAATAAATAAAAGTAGGACTTTACAAAATAATAATTTAGGCCAAAGAATAATTATTTTTCTAACACCACCTTTGTGTAATACATTTGTTTGATTGACAAATTTACTAAAAAACCCTATGCAACTATGACGTAAAATGAGTAATGACGAAGAAAGTTAAGAGCATATGCTAGTAAATTGATATTTTTCAATAAGACATTGTAAACGATGTGATCGGGATTGCATTGATTATGATATGAACTGACATATCGTATAAAACCGATAACAATGAGTATTATATGACAAATATTACCGACCAAAATAATAACTTACAACTAATATCCTATACACATCTAAGCGAGTGAGAGATGACGATCCCCAACAAAGATCTGAATCCGACAAAGAATCCCGTGAGTTATTAAAAGAACTAAAATATGTTAAAAAATGATTAGTCTCTTTCTAGGCAAAGAACAAACACTTTTTTATGACAAATAAATCAATTTATTGTTGCCATATACACATCCATCTATTTAGTATTTTTGAGCACACTCCGAAGTATTATTTTTCATACGAATGCCAGAGTTGAAGTTTTTGATACCAATCAATAAACAATTCAGCTGTTGACGATAGATAAATCCTGTAATTCTTAACCATTGAAAAGGTTAGGAATATTTGATAACACCATGTTTCGAGTAAAGGGTGTTGATAAAAAATGTGTATACAACGTTAATAGTGTGAGTCAGCCCATAATGTTGTCAACCTAAAATGAATAGGGTAGTGAGAATGCTAGACAATTTGATATAATCATGCTTTTGTGAAGGTCAGTTGCTAAAGTAACAGAAAGCTGAAAGGTAATGCTACCAAGAAACAGGTTGGTTAAAAGCTTATGTAAGGTGAATTTTAATGTAGGTTCACAAGCCGCAGGGGCACTCGTCAAGGATAATAATTGCTTTACAAAGAAAATAAAACTAAGGAAATGTCCAAGTAACTCAAAATAAACGATTTATTCGAAAACGCAAACTCTTATGAACTAGTTTCAGACAAAATTTGGCCAAGTGAAAAACACAAGAATAGGTAGCTAACTCAAAAATTATAAGAAAAAGATGCAGCAAATTTGAATGACTGTAAGGTGAATATTATAAAATTCTGACTAACCAGATAACATTGCGTAACGACTTTGGAACTGCTGAAGAGTAAATGGTCAGGTCACCATATAAATACGCACAAATGTTGATGTACATCAAAACATTCCCCACTTTTCCAAAATAAAAGAGCGACATTTGACCCTGAAAAGAAGTATTACAAGAAGAGAAAACCCTAACAAGCTCGTATTTCTCCGTAATTTCGAAGTCACTTGGGACAATTCTAGTTGTACCTTTGGAAAAGAACATATAAAAGAGCTGATGACGTACCGCCAGACATTCTACCAACCAGACTTTCATTATCTTCATGCTCTTCACCCTCCTAAAGTAAAGTAAGCTTTTAAACGCGATAAAAACTTGCGAACACATAGATATTTAGATTTGCGTAATGCATTGGTTATAGATAACGCTTCAATGACAAATGTGAAAGTTAAAAAGCTGAGAGAATAGAAAGTATGCAACTTACCTCAAAAAGCACAGAATAACTACAACACATACAGAGATCAACCATCCTGCTTCCTGAAACGCGGCTGGAAGTGTCAAAGCGCCAGTGCCCACAATTACGTTAAAAAAAAAATAAATCCAGTCTACAAATAATTTCACTCGACTGAAAGCTAACCAAAGAAGAGTATCCACTTCCTACGGAGATCGGTACATTTGACATCGTTAGGTGGAACTCGATCAGATGGCTTGATTTGCGCTAGAGTGTATAATTAGGTGAGTACAGACTCTTCGCTTAATGAGCGCCCGTCGAATTGCGGTTACCAAATTAGAACTGCAGATGCAGACAATCGATTATTCAGTAGTTTGTAAATCACAAGCTGCTTCTATCTGATTGTTACGAGGTACGACCTTGAACGTTTGAAAATTTGCGTCGTCGAGTTCTGGCTAATATAAAATATCTTCATGGTAAAACAATAACCTTTGAGATTATATTGACATATTACAAAAATAAGGATATGCACGTGACCGACAAATTTAAAAGGCGTTTCTATGTCATTTTAAGTTTCTGATTACAAACGAGGATAGTTCAAAACAGTGAAGAAGACTGTAATAAACTAAACTTCAGTTCGTAATTTCGGTCGTCTACTTAGCGACCAATCAGAATGAAGCTAGAGTTATTACTTTGCCCACCTTTGTAAGCAATGGCGGTCGGCCTACCTTGTTCTGTGTTTTTTCTCTGGTTTTGGTATTTATGCAAAATGAAATCATTTCGAGAGCTGAAATTCCGCAAATCATGCGATACTCTAACTTTTATTTCAGGTTACAACTATGAAAGCTAAAGGGCGATATTACCATAAATTCGTCTGTCATCAATCATCACCTAACTTGCGGTTTCTGAGGATGACGAGCATATGAATAAATTTCTATCGTTTCAATTCATACTTCTTGTTTTCTTCTGTTATTCACTTATTTCAAAGCATTTGAGTGGTTTCTTTACGTCATGGTGTTTTGTCCGAACACGACGTACCAGACGAATGAATGGTTACGTAACACTACTCGAATCACTTTAGGACAGCCTTATTATGTACATGTGGCGGTAAATAGATCTCTGAAATAAATAGTTCTGGAAGTCTTCGACATTAATGCTGACCATATTAGTTTAACTGTACACACCTAGCTTGGGATTCTCTTGGTCATGAATTCGCAACAGATGATAAGTTAGTACACCGCGCGACGCATCTCTTTCACTTGTTAGCCAGCTTAGACAAGACGCTTCTTGATATATCGATAACCTTCCAAATATACCCTCGAACTACTCCATCTTTGATTTTTTATTTGAGTGGGTTAGCATACTTCGGTTATAAAGGTGTTACGTACAGAGACGTCAAACTCCGATTACCTATGGCATTTAGAAAACCTGATGAGATCACTCAAAATATTTCAACTAAGTTTTATCTACTGCTACAGCCATTCAACACCTATTACTTCCCTCTGCCTTTTGTTCTCATTTAAACCAAATATCTTTTTCATGGGCTTGTCCAAGCCGATTGGCTTGTTTGAAATCATTTCTCGTTATTTCAGTGCAGTTCCTTGCATTCAGTTATGCCCACAGACCACTTTACAGCACTAGTTCTAGTCAGTCCGGTAGTTATTCGTGAATCTGTATATCTTGTAGTTAGGTGAATTTATTTGTCTTAGGTCACCAGGGTTTCTGGATACCAACAGGTATCACATCATCAGGCAGGATGTTGATGGTTTGGAATGTAAAAATAATGAAATGACAATTCGAGCTCTAAGAGAAGACGATTGACTAATGAATAAATACAAGAGTTAGTTAGTAATGTGTAAGATGACGGAATAGAGAGAATAAGAGGGCAAAAGGGGTTGATAATAAGAGAGATAAGAAGTGCTTACCTACATGTGGTAATGACAGCCTCGGTAATTTATGAAACATGCATTGGACACAGCTGCTCCAAGGGGGAGATAATGATCTATGAGTGAATATATGCTAGTGAAGTCCCCTATCAAAGCTATCCACTGAAAGAGCTATGGACAAAATCAACCACTTGTATAGGTAAATAGATCCCCAAAATAAATAGTTCTGGAAGTTTTCCGCCTTAATGTAGACACCTATTTACATATATTAGATTATCGATAATTGGTTGTCCTTACGAATAATTGTAGCTTCATCCATCATGATAAATTTGGTAACATTGAGCAAATCACTGCACTGATCGCTCAACAATGTGGTAAATTTCCTTTTATCAGCAAACGAAAGTTGTAATGTTTTACAAATGAAAACAAGGGTAAATATCTCAACAAGTGTAGCGTTTTGGTTTCAAAGTGTAGTCTCAAAGTGGAGTACTTATGACTCTGAGGGATAAGGTTTCCCTTCAGTGCCCAATCATCATCTAGTGACTTTTCAAAGATTTCCTAGAAAATTCCTGTGCCGACCTGGTGTTAAAACTAATCTATAAAGTTGATTTGAACAACCGGTTATTTTGAACACGATTTTTAGGCGTTTGTATGTCGAATTTCTATATCCTAGTGACAATATTTTTCGCTTATGAGACTTGTAACAGAAAGAATAAGTTAAAAATCCTTCATGAGTGTTTTACTGGATAGCATTTCCATTTCTTTGTTCATTCATCCTTTCACTTATCTTGTGTCTTTTGTAGTCATTTCCCATTTTATTCACTATTCTTTTTCTGGGCCATTATTATTTGAGTATGTTTAAGATTTACAAATATCATTTAATTTTGCCACTGAATGTTATCGAGCCATTGATGATAAGGTCGTTTTAGACCTAGCACAAAGTTAAGGCGTGTTTTGATGAATAATTGTTGACTTTAGGTTGCTTGCTAGAAGTGGCTGCTCAAACTCTTCCAGTTGGACATTTGGTCTCATCTTATTGGAGACACTTGATAATTGTCAGGTACCAAACACTGATTAAGAAGTCATTTTTCAAGTTCGTTATTATGCGCATACTGTAACGTTTGAATTATTTTGTACTTTCGATTTGATTGATTTTCTATCCGAAACTATGATCATGACGTCCGTTTAATCCTGTGTTTTATTTAGGCTACTACTTCTATATTCTTGTTGAAATATTAGTACACTCCTTTTCAGATGTGTTTTATTACGTCAAAAACGAATTTATCTTCCGTGTACACTTTTGGCAGCGAATGAGAACAACGCTTAAAAAGGGGGAAGCAGTTTGACATTAGCAACACGGTGAGGTAGACACGACCTTTAATTTGAAATTACTGGTTGACTGACTAGTTGTTTCAGCACATCTGTTTGGGCAGTTGAAGTTTTTTTGTTAGCTAAATGAGTTAATATACGTGCATCTATTTATGGCATTTACTCTAACAGCGATTCCAGTCAACTTATCGAGTTACTGACTTTATAACTTTTCACCGTTCCCTTGTAAATATTTTTTGTTACACCTGACATCAATTCATTATGAAAACCTTACCTCTAGTTTATAAACCTAACACGCTCTATGGCTGAAATCCATTATTGTTAACATAAACGAATTTCCTCAAAAATTCAGGAAATTCCAGAAACCCGACCCCCTGATTTTCGTCAAACTTTTATCACCTTTGGGGAATCAGAGTAAAAGAATCTGGGGAAATATGACAGAAACCCTAACTCCCCCACCAGAATTCTTCTTAAATCTAGAGATCAGGGATATAGTGGAGAACATCCCCTAAATACTATTAACCATAGGGTCATTCCAGAAAACAAGTGAGTTTCCCGAACACTACTAGTCGAGTCAGAGCTTATGGAGAACTGTCATCTGATTTAGCAACCTCAAGTGGTGTCCAACAAGGCTAACCATTGTCTCCATTTTTGTTTAACTTCACCATAGACCTACTGATGAAATAACGTTCTCATCGACTGAATTCTCGGGAATCGATCTCCTACCAGGAGGTCTACTTATCGATTTGAAATACGCAGATGATGTAGTCCTGTTTGGTGAAAACGCTGACAAAATTCAGAGTCTTTTGGTAGCACTGAGCAACAATGACAGAATGTTTGGATGCGTTTCTCCCCTCTAAATGCAAGTTGTTGCTTCAGGACTGGTCTGCATCAACACTTGAACTAAGGGTAGTGAGTGAAATAGTCTGCGCCGATCTTGCCTTACTTTTCAGTGGACAACGACGTGACCGCCATCAACGGACTGATATTAGCAAGCTGGTTGCAACTTCTGTTGCTAGTAAGTATCGAACCGAGCTAGTTTCTAGGATAGCTACCATTCCACCGAAAAGTATAGATGGGCATTGGTTGCAATTGCATGACACCATGAAAATGGCGGGTACAGTCAGTTGTGGGTTCGCGAAACGTTTCTCTTATAAGCACTGGGTTTCTTCTGGTTCCTTACAACTCATTGAAGCCCGTCGGTCTACTCCGGGTGACCGTGAGTTTGACCATAAACGAAGGATGTTACGTAATGAAATTGGGCAAAGCTTGCGTAAGGACCGAGAAACCTGGTGGTCGGAGAGTGCTAATGAGCTAGAAGCAGCAGCTGCATCTGGTAACTACCGGAAGCTCTTCCAACTCATCCGAGCCACTGGCAGCAACAAGTCTGGTGTGGGCGAAACAATCTGCGAGGATTATGGGATGCCAACCACTAACATCCGTCGACGTCTTGGACGATGGGCAGAATTTTTCGAAGGGTAGTTCAACTGGCCTGCTGCTCTGGCAACATCGGTCAAACTGTCCTGCCGCTCATGGCCGGTGACGACTGATCCACCGAATGAGGCGGAAGTCCGCAAGGAAATCCAACTCTTGAAGCGTTACAAATCACCTGGCCCAGATGACTTACCTCCGGGTCATTTCTGGCTAAGGAACTCACTGTGTTGCTTACCAAGGTCTGGGAACTAGAGAGTGTACCAACCTCATGGAATGAGTCAGTGGTTGTCCCCATCTTTAAAAAGGGTTCACGTCGTTCCTGCAACAACCACCGGGGGATAAGTCTACTTCCGATTGCGTCCAAGCTATTGGCTTCCGTCATACTTCGTAGGTTGTTCAAAACCCGAGAAAGATTGACTCGCGAGGAGCAGGCTGGTTTTCGTTCTGGTCGAGGATGTATTGATCATATCTTCACCCTTCGCCAAATGTTGGAACACCGCCATACTTATCAAAGGCCAACAATCATAGTGTTTCTTGACACCAGGGCTGCCTTCGATTCGTTGGACAGGACTGTTCTCTGGGATTGTCTATTGAAGAAGGGTGTGCCTGAGAAGTTTATTAACATCCTAAAAGCCCTACATAAAAACACCTCAGGCAGAGTAAGGGCATACAACCACCTCTCTCCATTGTTCCATTCGAGCAGTGGGGTTAGACAGGGTTGCCCAATCTCACCATTCCTCTTCAACTTTGCCATCGATGACATTCTGGAAACAGCTCTGATGGATGTAAGTAATGGTGGTGTGGATCTGTTGCCTGGAGAAAGACTTCTCGACCTTGAGTATGCGGATGATATTGTCTTACTATGCGATAATTCTCAAGCAATGCAATCCGCACTTGATCAGTTGGACATTAGTGTCCGTAGGTATGGTATGTGCTTTGCACCTTCGAAGTGCAAAGTACTTCTACAAGACTGGCAGGATTATAACCCTGCACTCACCCTAGATTGTGAGCAGATAGAAGTAGTCGAGAAGTTCGTGTATTTGGGTAGCTGCATAAGTGCTGGTGGGGGTGTGAGTGATGAGATTAATGCACGTATAGTGAAAGCCAGAGCGGCTTATGCTAATCTGGGCCACCTTTGGAGCCTTCGTGATGTCAGTCTGGCTGTAAAAAGTCGAATCTACAACGCGTCGGTGAGAGCAGTTCTGTTCTATGCTTGTGAAACCTGGCCTCTCCGAGTTG